TTAATCCTATTTAATTCCTGTTTCTCCATGGCTCTTTTTGGCAATCTCTTAATGCAGTACAGACACAATTAAGCAGAACATCAGCACTTTTTGAAAGTTTAGCAGCACTAGAATATGGTAATAATGTGGAAGTGTATTAAAAACTAAATGAACACCATTTTCTTGAGCTGATCCAAAATCTCTTTCTCTGGCCAATGATCCTATTGTGATTTTATGCTACAATCCAATCAGAGAGAATACCTAAAGAAATGTTTTCAAAAAAGACATTTCAGAACCATGATTTTCCCTTAGAATTCAAGCACATACATTTTTAAAAAAGAAATTAAAACAATGGAGGGCAGTGAGGGAAAGCAATGAGAGTGGGACATGCTCTCACTGGCCTGAAAAGCATGTCCTTAGTGCTTTTGTTAAATGTAGAAACTACCTGAAGACACGATCTTTCGAAGTGTTAAGTGTAGAAACTACCTGAAGACATGACCCCATCTTTCGAAGAAAGTCTGCAGGGGAAAAGATATGATTCAATCTAGCCCCCTGGAGGTGAGGAAAAAAGTTGGTTAGGCGGGAAATAGACTGGAAGGAATTGAACCTGCCGTGAACATCATGCAGACATTAAAAAATATATCAAATTCACTCACTTTATAGGTGGAGCAAATCTCTAAGAGTGGGGGTATTAAAACTGGACTGTCGTGTTCCTGTTGTTTTTAATGTGTAACATATTCTCCTTAGCCTTTAATGCTCTTTATTTTAAAACTTAAAGACCCTTTTGGGGAAAAATGTTTTAAATAATAAACACTAATACACTCCTTCAAATTCACAATATAGAGTCAAAAATAAGGAATAGTCTCTTTCTTGAACAGAGCCGAGTCCAGTGTCTGAACTTCATGTTCAAAGTGTCGGTACCACAACAGTGAATTTAACGTGGAAAAACGAAGACCTGCATGCCACTAACTATACCTACCGAATAGAAATAGAAGGAAATTCATCTCGTAGAAATGAGTCTTCTGATACCACCAGTGCAGTAATTAGCAACCTGGAACCCGGAGCATGGTATAAGTTCAATATCTATCCGGTCGCGCCTGATAATAAAACTGAAGGAGAGCCAAAGAATGCATCGCTGTATACAAGTGAGTACACAAAATCTATCAAGGTGATTCTAAGTATACAAAACAGTTGTGTTTTTTGTGGACGTGGGAGATTGCCTTCTTTTTCACTGCTCCCAAACTCTGCAGCACCCTCCTGTCGGAGGCCAGACTGGCCCTTTCTTTGCTGTCCTTCCACAAGTGGGCAAAGATCTTTCTTTTCAGACTAGCCTTCTTTTAGTGATTGGCTATCAAAGGATGTGGCTTGAGAGCTGAATTGGAAGAATTTGTCTTCACTGCGATTTGATTCACAGCCTGCATTACATTTCAGGTTGCACACACAAGGACACTTAGGGACACATAAAGACAACGCTCCAGCGCTATACAGCAGAGATCAACACAGTATAATTTTTATTAATCCTATTTAATTCCTGTTTCTCCATGATTCTTTGGCACTTTTTGGCAATCTCTTACTGCAGTACAGACACAATTAAGCAGAACATTAGCACCTTTTGAAAGTTTAGCAGCCCTAGAATATGGTAATAATGTGGAAGTATATTAAAAACTAAATGGAGGAACACCATTTTCTTGAGCGGATCCAAAATCTCTTTCTCTGGCCAATTATCCTATTGTGATTTTACGCTACAGTCCAATCAGAAAGAATACCTAAAGAAATGTTTTCAAAAAACCCCATTTCAAAACCATGATTTTCCTTAGAATTCAAGCACATATATTTTTTAAAAAAATATTAAAACATTGGAGGGCAGTGAGGGTGGGGACATGCTCTCGCTGGCCTGAAAAGCATGCCCTTAGTGCTTTTGTTACATGAAAAAATTACCTGAAGACATGACCCCATCTTTCGAAGAAAGTCTGCAGGGGAAAAGATATGATTCAATCTAGCCCCCTGGAGGTGAGGAAAAAAGTTGGTTAGGCGGGAAATAGGCTGGAAGGAATTGAATCTGCTGTGAACATCATGCAGACATTAAAAATATATCAAGTTCTTTATAGGTGTAGCAAATCTCTAAGAAGGGGGTGTTAAAACAGGACTGTCATGTTCCTGTTGTTTTTAATGTGTTTTTAGGACTAGGTTTTCATGTTATCATTGGTTGATTTTTTTAAAGACAAATTTTAATAACATTCTCCTTAGCTTTTAATGCTCTTTATTTTAAAACTTAAGGGCCCTTTTGGGGAGAATTTTTTTAAATAATACACACTAATACACTCTTTTACATTCACAATATAGAGTCAAAAATAAGGAATCGTCTCTTTCTTGAACAGAGCCAAGTCCAGTTTCTGAGCTTCATGTTGAAGGCATCGGTACCACAACAGTGAATTTAACGTGGAAAAACGAAGACCTGTATGCTACTAACTATACCTACCGGATAGAAGTAGAAGGAAATGCAACTCGTAGAAATGAGTCCTCTGATACCACCAGTGCAGTAATTAGCAACCTGGAACCCGGAGCATGGTATAAGTTCAATATCTATCCGGTCGCGCCTGATAATAAAACTGAAGGAGAGCCAAAGAATGCATCGCTGTATACAAGTGAGTACACAAAATCTATCAAGGTGATTCTAAGTATACTAAACAGTTGTGTTTTTTGTCAACATGGGAGACAGCCCCTTCTTTTTCACTGCTCCCAAACTCTGCAACGCCCTCCTGTTGGAAGTCAGACTGGCCCTGTCTTTGCTGTCCTTCCACAAGTGGGCAAATATCTATCTTTTCAGACTAGCTTTCTCTTAGTGGTTGGCTATCAAAGGATGTGGCTTCATTTGAGACCTGAATTGAGAGAATTGGATTTCACTGTGATTTGATTCGCAGCCCGTATTACATTTCAAATCACATATACAAGAGCCCACAAGGGCTGCAGATAGATATCCTGGGTCCATGTTCCCATTGTTTGTAATGTAACTCACACTCATGCCCACGTTATTTCCTTCCCTTTACAATATAAAGTCAAAAGTAATGAATTGTCTCTTTCTTGAACAGAGCCCAATCCAGTTTCTGAGCTTCACGTTGAAAGCGTCAGTACCACAACAGTGAATTTAACATGGAAGAGCGAAGACCTGCATGCTACTAACTATACCTACCGAATAGAAATAGAAGGAAATGCATCTCATAGAAATGAGTCTTCTGATACCACCAGTGCAGTAATTAGCAACCTGGAACCCGGAACATGGTATAGGTTCAACATCTATCCGGTTGCTCTTGATAATAAAACTGAGGGAGAGCCAAAGGATACATCGCTGTATACAAGTGAGTACACAAAATCTATCAAGGTGATTCTAAGTATACAAAACAAATGAATTGGTTGTGGACATGGGAGAGGGCCTTCTCTGTTGCTGCTCCCAAACTCTGGAGCACCTTCCTGTGGGAGACCAGATTTTTCTTTCTTTGCTGTCCGTCCACATGCTGGCAAAGATCTTTCTTTTCAGACCAACATTTTCTTAGTACAGTAGCTTGTTATCTAAGAGGTGGTTGTTAAAACAGTACCTTTGTGTTTCTTGTGTTTTTAATGTGTTTCAGTGATTTTTATCTACAAGTTTTTAATATTATATATTTTTAATTTCTTCTTGTATGTTTTTATAAATTATTCTTATTATCTTTTAATGTTCTTTTGTTGTTTTAATACTGTAAGCCCCTTTGGGTCCTTCTTGGGAGACAGAAGAGGTATACATATTTAAAATAATACACAAACATTGGATTCCTCTATGTCAGGGGTGTCCAAACTATAGCCTGCGGGCCACATCTGGTCTGCCTTGCTGTTTTATCCAGCCTGTTCACTTAGCCTGTGCACATGGGGAGGTGGGTGAGGAAGCATCTGTGCATGTGAGGGTGCTCTTGGGTGTGCGTGCAGGGGTGCGAGTGGAGCGGTGCATGCGTGTGCGTGTGGCCACACATTCCTGTTCCTTTGGCTCTCAAAAATGTTGAAAATGTCCGGTGATACCCTCATGGTCAAAGTTTGGAGACCCCTGCTCTATGTTAACAATATAGAGTCAAAAATAATGAATTGTCTCTTTCTTGAACAGAGCCCAGCCCAGTTTCTGAGCTTCATGTTCAAAGCATCGGTACCACAACAGTGAATTTAACATGGAAGAATGAAGACCTGCATGCTACTGACTATACCTACCGAATAGAAATAGAAGGAAATGCATCTCTTAGAAATGAGTCCTCTGATACTACCAGTGCAGTAATTAGCAACCTGGAACCCGGAACATGGTATAGGTTCACCGTCTATCCGGTTGCTCCTGATAATAAAACTGAGGGAGAGCCAAAGGATACATCGCTGTATACAAGTGAGTACACAAAATCTAATGGTGTGATTATATGTGTAGAAAGGGATTGTACTGCTGGATATCTGAGTGGTTTAGATCTCTGGCCATGGAGCCAGAGGTTGGAAGTTGAATTCCCCGCTGTGTTTCTTTGATGGGCTGTTCTTGGTGGGTCATAGAGGCCCTTCCAGCTCTGCAGTTTAGGATATTATTTTTAAAAAAATGTATTTGTTTACATTCACAACATTGAGTCAAAAAGAAAAATGAGGTCATGAAATCTATAATGTGCAAGAGAACTATAGTTAAGCTTTACCGGTTAATACAATTTGCATACCTTTTTAATACAACAAATTTGTCAGCAATGCACATTCTGTTGGTCTAATACCTTGTCCTCTGAAAGTTATTTTCTGATTTATTTAATTCAAATTTATTCGTTTATTTTACAGCTCTATGTTACCCTGTAATAGAAATTTCTGAGGTGTTTACAGTAAAAGGGAACTGACCATTAGGTAGTTGCATCTTAATGCCTGAATACAAGACAGAAACTAGCAACAGAAGATAAAATAAGAATAACAACTTACAGTAGCAACTGGAAGTTAATAGGTCTTAAATAGAGATGGGTTATTCATATACAAATACTAATATCCTCCCACAGGTGGAGATAATAAAGGTCTGGCCCGCTGGGGCCAGACCATCCACTCACCATTCCGCTGCTGCCATGGGCTCCGCGCTCCCTTCCTATCACACGGAGCTCGTGGTGGATTAGCCACTCCTCGACCTGGCAGAGAGGCGAATACGAATACCCCCATCTCTAGTCTTAAAAATAAAAATAAAAATTGAGGATCTATAAATCATGCCAATAAAAGCTTATGTTAAAAATCTATCCGATAGCAGGTAGTGGTGCTCCTGAAGGATATTCAGCTGAGGCCCTGGTCACATGAGGGAAATGTTTTCCATTTTTTCTGATATTTTCCATACCTCTATTGTACTGAATTGTGGTCACATGGTTTATATCCCGAGACGAATGTCCCAGGAACTTTTAGCCATACCAATTTATTTCATCCTGTTTGGATAGTTATGGCCGGCTACACCATGGCACCGGTTTACAGTGGTGCCCCTCTAGACGACGACCTTGCAAAACAACGAATCGACATGACAATGAGGTTTTGCGATCGCTATAGTGATTCTCAAAACAGTGTTTCCAATGGGCGATTTTCACTGGACAATGTTTGGGTCCGTGCCTCACAAACCATTTCTTGCAAGACGACAGTTTTGGCACTGATCGGCGCTTTGCAAAACGGGTGTTTTCGGGACCGATGATTTGGAGGACAGCCATTTTAACAGCTGATCGGCGCTTCACAAAATGGCTTCCCTATGGGCGATCTTCGCAAAACAATGATGATTTTTCCCCATTGGAACACATTAAATGGGTTTCAATGCATTTCAATGAGGAAACGGTTTTCGCAAGACGATGTTTTCACAAGACAGCGATTTTTATGGAACGGATTATCATCGTCATGTGGGGCACCGCTGTATTTTCTCTTGCTTCAAAGGCAATTTACTTACACATAAGCACACATACACATGCATTCAATAGTTATCAATACATTGACATAACAGGAACAAGGTTCGCTCTAAGGTGTGTGACTGTGCAAGTACATGTGACTCTACCGCCCTCCACAGTTTTCCTCCTCCCTCATGCAACCACAGTGATTGCTTCCAGCTCCTTTCATTCTGATCACAATGTAATCCTGCATGGGGGAGGGCAGACTGTCACACATGGTGGGGCAAACTCGCACACAGGGGGTGGAGCCCTGACCAGTGGAGCTGAAAATTAGAGGGAACATTTATTTGTTTTATTTATTTATTGGATTTCTATCCCACCCATCTAGACCAAACATCTACTCTGGGCAGTTTACAAATTTAAAAACAATAAAACCAATAAGTATATATTATAGATCCAAAGTGGTAAAGTATAAGAAATTAAGATACAGCAGGAGGGAAAGCCTACCCAAATAGCCAGGTTTTAAGTTTATTCCTGAAAACATCCAGAGAGGGAGCCAGGCGGATTTCCACTTGCAAGTTGTTCCAAAGATGAGGGGCCACTGCCGAGAAGGCCCTATTCCTCATTCCTTCCTTCCGAACCTCCCTTGGCGTTAGGCCCCTCAGCTGCCCAGCCTGGCTGGAATGAGTGACCCTGGCAGAACTGGGTGGGAGAAGGTGCTCTGCCAGATATCTGGGTCCTAAACTGTTTATAGCTTTATATGTAATCATAAGAACTTTGAAATCAATGTGGAAATGAATGGTCAATACAAGGCGGCCAGAGTGGGGAAAATATGATAGTACCTTTTCACTCCAGTAAGAAATCTAGCCGTAATCTGTACCATCTGAAGTTTCCACATCAGTCTCAAAGGCAGCCCCATGTAGAGCGCATTACAGTAGTCTAATCTTGAGACTATGAGCACATGGACCAAAGTGGTGAGCGCCCCCACATCAAGATAGGGACACAGCTGGGCAATCCACCAAAGGTGGAAATGTGCGGAATAGACCACTGACGACACCTGGGTCTCCATGGTGAGCGCTGGGTCCAGGTGTACACCCAAACTGCGAACCTCACTCTTAGTGCTGAGAGTCACACACACACACCCCAAGGAGAGGGGGTTTCCCAGACCCTTGTCTTGTGGCTGCTTCTGAGGGGAGGAGCTGCCACAGGATACTAGGAGAGTTTTCTCTACACTACAACACCCATGTGGCTTAGCAACCTTGGGAATGGCACCCTCACAGAAGGACCTCCATCTTGCCTGGATTCAGCCTCAGTCCATTCACCTGCATCCATTGCTGAAGAACCCCCAGGCAGCCCTCAAGGGATGAAACAGCATCCACTATTGTTGGGAAAAATGAGATGTAGAGCTGAGTATCATCAGCATAATGATGACATGAAGCCCCACCTTCCCCTATGACCCCTCCCAGCAGCCTCATATAGATGTTAAACTGCACTGGAGAGATGATCGAGCCCTGTGGAACCCCACAATTGAAGCACCACGGGGCCAAGAAACTCTCTCCAATCTGCACTCTCTGGGGACAGTCCTCCAAGAAGGATCAGAGTGAGGCAAGAGTCAGGCCACCAGTTCACAACTCAGAGAGCCTCCCCAGGAGGATAGTGTGGTTGACGGTATCAAAGGCAGCAGAGATATCGAGGAGGACCAGCAGAGACAGTTTGCTCAGGAAGGGGGTTCTGTTTAGGAAAGTGCCCTCTATTGTACTGGCTGCTTCTGCAGAAATGCATTGCACACAATGGATATGGGATATCTGCACGGTAGTACTGGCAATCACACACACCCCCAGTGACATTGGCATAGCAATGCTTTAATGTAACTTCCAATACAAATAAAAAATATTGTTACTGGCCAGTAATGTAAACGTGGTGGCACCCTGCTGGCATACTTTTACCAATGTATTGATGTATGGGGGCAAAAATAATATAATAATATGTGTGCTGCAGTAATGGTGGTCACCTTCTTGGTTTTGATTCCGGAAAGGAAGCGGGGCAGGTACACGTTTGTACAAAGAGCAAATGAGCAGAGACCTAGTTAGATGCCCTCCAGAAGCTTATTCACTTGCTGCATGTGGGCCTGAGTATAGGACAAAGCAGAACTTTACCTGTTCAAACAGGAGTGACAGATAATAATATGTGTGCTGCAGTAATGGTGGTCACCTTCTTGGTTTTGATTCCGGAAAGGAAGCGGGGCAGGTACACGTTTGTACAAAGAGCAAATGAGCAGAGACCTAGTTAGATGCCCTCCAGAAGCTTATTCACTTGCTGCATGTGGGCCTGAGTATAGGACAAAGCAGAACTTTACCTGTTCAAACAGGAGTGACAGATGTTTACATCAGTTGAAGGCAAACTGATTGCAGGTATTTAAAATGGCCCCTAAATTTACACCAGGCTACTTATCCAGCACCATGTAATTATTTCTGCAAATTGTTTGTCCTTTGGTAAGTGCAGTGGAAGACAGAATACATATGCAACATGAATGAACCTGCTGACTGTAAGTGAGCTTGCTCAGCGCTTGTATCTCTGCTATCATGATGAAAATGTTTTAAAGCTTGAGAGGAGGATAGCTGGCCACACAGTTAGCAGCATACCAGACTCTATCGGAACCACACCACAGCATGCTAAATCATTCAGCTGTCTCCTTCTTCAACAGAGCCCAGTCCAGTGTCTGATCTTCGCGTGGAAAGCATCGGTACCACAACAGTGAATTTAACATGGAAAAACGAAGACCTGCGAGCTACTAATTATACATACCAAATAGAAATAGAAAGTAATGCATCTCTTAGAAATGAGTCTTCTGATACCACCAGTGCAGTAATTAGCAACCTGGAACCTGGAACATGGTATAGGTTCACCGTCTATCCAGTCGCCCCTGATAATAAAACTGAGGGAGAGCCAAAGAATACATCACTGTATACAAGTGAGTACACAACATCTATCAAGGTGATTCTAAGTATACAAAACAGTTGTGTTTTTTGTGGACATGGGAGAGGGCCTTCTTTGTCACTGCTCCCAAACTCTGCAACGTCTTCCTATCAGAGGCCAGACTGACCCTATCTTTGCTGTCCTTCAACAAGCAGGGAAATATCTCTTTTTTTCAGACTAGTTTTCTCTTAGTGGTTGGCTATCTAGTTTTGTGTGAGAAAATGATGATCAAAATGCTTCTAGCTACATTTGCTTATTAGAAATAGAAAGATTGTATTCTGTTTAATGGGTCTCATTTAATAGCACCCATCTTTTAATTGTACACTTGGAACTTGGAATATCATATATTTTTAAATCCTTCTAGTAGCAGCTGATGGAAAAATTGTAGGAAAACCAAATGATCTCTTCATACAAGTGAGTAAATAAATTTAAGAAGTACAGTGGTGCCTCGCATAGCGAGGTTAATCCATTCCGGATTAACCTTCGCTATAGCGAAACATCGCTAAACGGAATTTAAAAAGCCATAGAAACGCATTGAACTTTGTTCAATGCATTCCTATGGCTTTAAAACTCACCGTTAAGCGATGTTCCTCCATAGCGCCGCCATTTTTGCGCCCTCGGTAAGCGAGGGCAGGGCGCGAAAATGCGGTGCGGACCTTCCGGCGGCCATTTTGGAACCGCCGATCAGCTGTTCTCCCCCGCTTCGTTATGCGATATTTGCTAAGCGAATCGCTTAGCGAATATCGCAAACCGAAAAAACGCCATAGGGGCCATCGCTGAGCGAATGCTCCAGCGATGGCCCAGAGCCCCTCGTTAAGCGGTTTCATCTCTCAGCGAGGCACTCGTTAAGCGAGGCACCACTGTATAGTAATTTGCACACATATAATGGTATACTCACAGCAATGGCAAGGAGAAAAATGATCACATGAAATTTATAATGTGCTGTAGAACTATAGCTTTTCTGCATGTTTTGCTGCTCCTGCCTAGTATAATTGCATTTAATTTAGTATAAACAGTTTACCAATACTGTACTATACATTCTGCTATTACCTTCAACCTATATATTTCCCTCTAAAATGTGTCCTCAGATTTATTTTACCTATATTCTTCTCTCCCCACTTATCTCTCTCTCTCTCTCTTTCACAACCGTTAACACATCCCAATTAGTACAGGTTCTTGGTTGGCTGACAACAATAAAAGAGAAGTTATAGTTAGAATGTAAAACTGTAATGTCTAAATGCAGCATAAATCTTTGCAGTGGGTTGAATAAATGTAGTTATTCACAGTGGCAACAGACTTCTAGTAATTTTATAACCTAAAAATGTTACAAAATCTGTAAATTATTTTTAAAAATATTAAAATAAGAGTTTAAAGTTAAAAGCCGAGGATACTATAACTATGTATAAAAGTATTGTTACTAAGCTTTTTTATGCTACTCTATTTGTGTATAAAAATTCAATAGTAAATAAAATAAAAACAATTCGTTACTAAAATTTGGTGCTTCATCAGTTCATCCCTTTGTCAACTTTAACGAATGATGAATCCTGACAAAGCACCATTTTTTCCAATGTGTCCCCATCTCTAGTTAAAAGTAAAAACCATGTAAAAATACCATTCTGTGGATTGATGGTTTCCTAATAGACCAATCGTAAGTCAGGGTTTTGTTCTTGATTTAGTGAGAGATCAGGATGCAGACATCACATTTAGCAAAATGGAAAGGTCCCAGCTTGGTTGGTGCTGGCAGGAGAAGCCAAGCAGAAGTGATAAAGCATCATATACAGTTGCAGGATTCTGGTTTATCAGAATGAATTAGACTTGTATCTATGATGAACGACGTTAACTCAGAAGCCAGAAGTGGGATTGGGTGCCAGATCTCCCACAAGGCACTCCAGTGCATTCAGTTTCACATTGTTCCTCTTTGATACTGGCCAGCAAACAAGTACACCCAGATGTGTAACTCATTAATTCTGTGACTGCAGTCCCCTCCATGGTTCACTGTTTAAATAAGTGGCAGCTATTTCAGGTGTAAAATTAGAACTGAGGTAACATTTGAATTGCCCTGTGACAGGACTATGGCCTTATTGAGGAATAGATCAGTTTACAATAAGTACTTGATAATAATTATTAAAAAGAAATGCAGATTTGCAGCATGGTGTTGCTAAATCCAACCATTGTTCAGCATATATCTGAAGGTTAAAGTTAAAAGGTAAAGGTTCCTCTTGACAATTAGTCCAGTCGTGTTTGGCTCTAGGGGGTGGTGCTCATCCCCGTTTCCAAGCCTTAGAGAGCCAGCATTTATCCATAGACAGTTTCCGTGGTCACGTGGCCAGTGCGACTAGACACGGAACCTTCCCACTATGGCGGTACCTGTTTATCTACTGATATTTGCATGCTTTTAAACTGCTAGGTTGGCAGGAGCTGCAACAAGTGATGGGAGCTCACTCTGTCACATGGGTTCAAACTGCTGGTCTTTCAACCTTGCAGCCCAGAGGCTTTCTACGGTTTAACCCACAGTGCCACTACGTCCCTATGAAGGTTACTGTGGCCTAATAAGCTCCATTCATTTCAATGTGGAAGAAGCCCTTTTCAGGAGTAGTGCTTGCCATTTGGAGTGATCTCTGTACTGTGATGAGGCCACTGCAGAGTTTTCATGGTGCCAGTTAAAGACTTATTTGTTTCTTAGTGTTAATTGGATGAGGAACATCATCACAGCTATTCTCACTTTGAATACAGTAGCTCTGCAATTAAAGTGCTTTGCATCCAGACCAGTTTCCTAGGGTTTTTTTTGGATAAGTCTCCTTCTCTCACCTATTTTCCCATTTATTCTGACACAAATCTTGAATCAGGTGTAGCAGTCTGTATTTTTTGTTCTCCTTATATGAGAGAACTATTTTAGCTATCTACATTTTATGTGTTTATGGCCAAAATCCTCTTGTATAGTAGGCAAATGGCATAATTTTGGAGGCAAACTGCCCCAAGTTAAAAAATCATGGTAGACATTATAAATCGCATGCTGAGTCACAGAAGTCAGTAATGCCATAGATAATGTCTCTGATGATTTCTTCACTTCAGGCAATTCATCTCCAAAATGTACACCATTTGTGTTACACCAGCATTACTAGGCAAGAGAAAACGGGCCTATGATGTCTTTTTTTTAAAATGTATTCTCGAAGGCTTATAGGATCCAATGGTTGTTGTAGGTTTTTTGGGCTGCCTGGCCATGTTCATGAGATTTTTCTTCCTAATGTTTCACCAGTCTCTGTGGCCAGCATCTTCAGAGGACAGGAGTCTGACCTCTGTCTGTGCTCTGGTGCAGTTTGTGGGATAGTTGAGTATTTATAGCTGTGGGATCAGCTTTTTGCCCTTTTCAGGAAATTGGATGATTATGGTGACCAGCGGTTTTTGTTGTTGTTGTTGTTGTGGACCCATCTAATTGGCTACCCCTAGAGATTTTTGTGATTATAATGAAATGTTACTGTATCATGGTAGACATTATAAATCGCATGCTGAGTCACAGAAGTCAGTAATGCCATAGATAATGTCTCTGATGATTTCTTCACTTCAGGCAATTCATCTCCGAAATTTACACCATTTGTGTTACACCAGCATTACTAGGCAAGAGAAAATGGGCCTATGATGTCTTTTTTAAAAATGTATTCTCAAAGGCTTATAGGATCCAATGGTTGTTGTAGGTTTTTTGGGCTGCCTGGCCATGTTCATGAGATTTTTCTTCCTAATGTTTCACCAGTCTCTGTGGCCAGCATCTTCAGAGGACAGGAGTCTGAACTCTGTCTGTGCTCTGGTGCAGTTTGTGGGATAGTTGAGTATTTATAGCTGTGGGATCAGCTTTTTGCCCTTTTCAGGAAATTGGATGATTATGGTGATCAGCGTTTTTTGTTGTTGTTGTTGTTGTGGACCCATCTAATTGGCTACCCCTAGAGATTTTTGTGATTATAATGAAATGTTACTGTTTTGTCTTAAATTTTAGATTTTATTTTATGGTTTTTAACCTTGCAATATTGTAGACCACTTTGAAATTTTGCAAATGCAAGGCAATATGGAAATGTCTATACATACTTACATACATACATTTTTTCTTAACAGTTCCCAGCTCAGTGTTCAACATAAGTGTTAACGACATCAGTACAACAGTGGTCAACTTAACATGGAAGAACTCTGATTTGGCATCTGTTGAGTACTTCTATAGGATAAATGTCAGTGAGGGAGCTGGTGTGAACACGGTCTTCGCAGATACCAGTGCTGTAATTTCAGGGCTAAGCCCTGGGACTCAGTACACATTCAGCATATATTCAATTGCAGGAGATATGAAGACGGAAGGAAAGTCAAGCTCCATAAATTATTGTACAAGTAAGTTTGTTAAATAGTAAGATGCAGTAAAGTCTTCACCAATGTATAACTGCCAGTGATGCATATAAAAGGGGTTCAGGGTATAAAATATGCATGAAAATAAGAGAGCCTCCAACATTTCTTTTTGGAGAAAAGTGTTTAATCTTTTATATTGTATGTGTATCTTACTTATTTTGTGCATGAAAATAAGAGAGCCTCCAACATTTCTTTTTGGAGAAAAGTGTTTAATCTTTTATATTGTATGTGTATCTTTCTTATGTGCTATGCTTATCACTAGAATTAAGAACTACAGAATAAATCATATCCAAATATAATATTGTATTGTATCCCTACATCGAGCAGGGGGTTGGACTTGATGGCCTTATAGGCCCCTTCCAACTTCACTGTTCTATGATTCTATGATAACATCTGTATTTGCAAAACAAATGAAGAGTAACTGTTCTGAGGCACAATGTTTATGGGTCTAAGCAAACGTGCTTTGTATGAAGCACATTTTGTTTTTGCACCGGAGGACAAATTCAGAACCATTAGGTGGAACTTGCAATTCTTGACTAGTCTTTAAGAGAAACTTCATAAGGGTAAGTAGAGATGGTCATGAACTGAACTATAAACCAAAAAACCCACAAGTCAGGCTGGTCCATGATTTAGTTCATAGTTCAGTTCGGGGTTCCCATTTTGCTGAAATGAAACAAAGCACTGAACTTTTTTCCACTCAGTACTTTGTTTTCAGCAAAACAGATGCCCTGTCCCCTTCCTGTTGCCCCTGTTGTTTCCCTACCTGGTCCTGCCACCTCTTCCTCTTTGTCCTCCGCCCTTGCCATCTTTAGAGAGAGCGGCCCAGCTTCCCTTCTGGAGCCAGGCCTGCTGACTTTTCACAGGTACACACCAAGTCTGAGTTTCTAGGGAATTGGGCCTGTCCACAAAAGCTCACATTAAAATATAGCAGTTAGTCTTTAAGGTACTGCAACATATTTGTCTTCTTTATTCTTTTGTTTTATTTTGTTTGGCACAGACTAACACAGCTACTTCTTCTAAAATTAGTATTATTCAGGTTGCCAGTTCAGTAACCTTTAGTATATATCTTAATTGCTGATAGTTCATTATGTTTGTGTTTCTTTGCCATATATGTATATCTAAAAAGCAGAAGACAGCGTGAAACATAGCCTGAACATAAAATTCTCTTTCATAAAGAATTGCTTCTTGTGAAGCTTTTTTAAAAAAACTTTAAACATTCTTAAAAATCAGTGTGTTAATCATTGTAAAGAAATTACCCTTCATAACATTTATTGAATAGTTTCTTTATTGGCTCAATCAGTACGAAATACATTTGGTACTAGGAAAATATATTTATAATAAAACCAAAGAGAAATCGGGAATGAATAGCTTTTAGGAACAACAACAACAACAACAACAACAACAACAACAACAACAACCACTTGGTTTCTTCCTCTGAGCAATGTCATCTCAGCCACTTTGTGAATATAATCTCAAGCCTTTCATATCATATATAAATACTTAAATTAGTGGCATTGTTAATTTCTACTGCTGTCCTCTCCTTTTGTAAATCTGCAACCAGAGCTTCAGTTTTTTCACAATCCTATAAATATCTATCTATTCAAGAGTGAATTCCACTGAATTTAGTGGAGCTTGCTCTGAGGTAACTGAATTTCTGCTTATAGTCTGCATTAATATGCCAGATAGAAATCCTTTTATCTTAGTTCAAGGTGTCGTTTCTCTGTGTGCAGTACGAGTGGTTCTGCTATTTGTAGTATGATTTTTATTCATTTACATTGCTGGGATGAATGATAAGTATATGATATGGAGATAAAGAAGAAAAAGAACATAGTGTGAGAAGAACTGGGGTGTTTTGTAGCTGATTTTTTCACTGCAGTATCATGTGTTAATTAAAATCCTGACATGACCACCAGTTCCTCTCCTACTCTTTTGTTGCAGTTCCAGCATCAGTGGATGTATTGATGTGTGAGCCAGTGGCTAAACAGGCAGAACTGATTCTCAACTGGACTCCTCCAAATGGGACATTTGTAGGCTTCCACCTTCTTGTCTTAAATAATCCTTGGAACAAAACATTATCTAAAGAATATAACACCACAGTAACAAATTTGAGTTATTTTACCAACTACACTGTTCAAGTTATAACTCGTTCATGTGAAAAAGAGAGCATTCCTAAAGAAATAACATGTCACACAAGTATTACTGGTAAGCATAAAGCTACTTTTCTTGAACTGGGTGTGGAGTGAGGAAGTATATTCTTCTGAAATGGATTATTTAATTCAGATTGATGAATTACACAACTGTTGGCTTGGTAGCTAACCAAATATACATATGGCAGAGGAAGTACACAGACACACAGGGTGGTTATACAGCTAAGGATCTTACATCTTACAAATGCAGCAGTTTATTTCTTACAATGTGCACCTCTTTCCCCATCAGAGGTGAGTAGCAACCGTGTAAGAAAAAAGAGCAAATAAAGACTATCGCATTTATTGTTGGTCTTTGTGGTGGCACAGGATTATTTGTTGTTTGTGCTGCAACAGGTTGACACAGCTATCTCTTTAAAAATGCAGAACAGAACATCTAATTACAGACCTAGCACATAAAAGACTGAAATATCCCTGCCTATGCAAGGTAGTTGCATAGAGACATCTTCAAATACTAAAAGGTTACAGCTGTGCCAGAGAGAATTAAGCTTGGATTTCAGCGAACCTCAGTGGGGAGGGGGTTGCATAGTTGTGTGGCAGCCACTGAGGAAGCTTCTCTATATGTCCGTGCAGCTTCACTTAGAGTATAGGATTGGAAATGTTGCCTGCTGATCATTGGACTCAGTAGATCTGAATTCAAACCTCCCAACCATGGAAGATCATTGACGAATAGGGAGTACATAGGTTCAAACTACTCTTGAAATACTTCATAAACTGTGAAAATCCTATTAGGATCACCATGTGTCTGATGCATATACCATTCCATACCAGCTCTGTGCTACGGGGCAGTACAGCAATAATCTCCACAGACACTAGCCGTGTGATGACTTCTGTGTGCGTCATTTGCAATGTGTGTTGTCACTAACCATGTGATTCCTTCACGGCTTGACATTGATTCCTTACAGCTGCCCTATTGGCATGCATGCTCTTCAGAAAATCCTGGTGATTCAAAATGGGGATCAGTATTATCAGTAAGGTAGAGAAAGCACCACACTGCACTGAAGGGGTTACAATAGTTCTCAGCATGGATAAGTAATAAGAAGAACACTAAAAATGGTCTATTGTTTATCTGCTCAAGCATGGCTTCTAAATGAGATTTACATATTTTTAAACAGTGCTTTCTTCTCACTCCTTCTATATATGCTGTCAAAGACATTGGAACCTATTTGTTTTCCAGATCCTCCACCTCCATCTGATCCCCCTGCTGTCAAAGCATTAAATCACTATTCTTTGAATGTTCAGTTTGGTGTCTTTAATTCAACACATGGACCTGTAACAGCATACGCAATAGTGGTCACAACTTCAGAAGGTAAATGTATATGCAGTGTGCCTATTTGCCATTTGCTTTCTTTGATATGCAAGGAGCTGAGAGTTCTGCACTTTCTTTTCTTTAAAAAAAGGTAAGAAAATGGTAATCAGGTTCTCCCCCAGCATTAAAATGCAACATAAGGAGCATGCAGTGGTCATTCCTGATTACGTTTGCAAAGGCATTAAAGCAGGACCACAGGATCTCCAGAACTTTAGGAGCTGCACATGTCCATCCATGGACCTTGGAGGGCTGCTCTCTTGATCCCTACTTCCTTGATTATTTATACAGTGGTGCCTCGCTTAACAATTACCTCATTAAACGATGAAACCGTTTGACGATGAGGTTTTTGCGATCGCAATACAATGTTCTAATAGGAAAAATTCACTTCACAATGATCGGTTCCCTACTTCGGGAACCGATTTTTCGCTAGACAACTATTTTAAAACAGCTGATCGGCGGCTCTAAAATGGCCACCCGCTGTGCAAAATGGCTCTCCACTTGCCTTAGGACAGATTCCTCGCTATACAGGCACAGGAAAATGGCCACCCTATGGAGGATCTTTGCTTTACGATGAGGTATTTAGCCCATTGGAACACATTGAACCAGTACTTCTTTGTGGCGTCTGTGAATACACACATATGGGTTTAGTCTGCGCCTGCGCTGACATTCTCGGAGCATTCTAGAGCTAAAAGTAACAATTTTATGGGATGATCGCCCATGAGGCACAAGCTCCTCCCACCCAAGATTCCCCTCAGTTCCTTTTTTCCGCCGTGCTGTAAAGTTCTACAGAGCATAGAGCTATTTCCACAGGGGTTTTTCCCCTTAGCTTATTGATCAGTTCCCTCTAAATTGGATTCTTTCCCTTCTCAATTATCTAATCTACGATCCCCCATGAGTTGTTTTCTTTTCACTTGCCAGCTACTTGGCTTACCCTTTTTTCCGCCGTGCTGTAAAGTTCTACAGAGCATAGAGCTATTTCCACAGGGGTTTTCCCCCTTAGCTTATTGATCAGTTCCCTCTAAATTGGATTCTTTCCCTTCTCAATTATCTAATCTATGATCC